CTTGCACTCGAAGTATGGGTCATGAGCAACCACACCCTCTCAGATACGATTGAACACATGCCTTGCCATACGAAAACGGCGACGAAATTTATCCGGCTTGAAAAGCGGAGTGTTCGCAAAATAATCGGCATAGAGTAGGGCATGGCCTCTCTCCCTGTTGCGGTTCAGGTTGGGAGAACGGCCAGGGACTGACCCCCTGTACCGAGGAAGCTGCCGTTGAATGTGGTCGTGAACGACTAGTGCAGCCACCACAAGATCTTCATCATCCGACGACGAATCGTCCGATGAACAAAGGAAGTGATGGAAAAAAAACTCGTCTCCACTGTCCATACCTTTGTGGGCAAAATGTCGAACACTTTGTGATAGGCCCCGACTAGATGCGAGTCGTTCGTCGGCCCGATCTTTCAAGATACTGGCAGCAGCACAAGAAATTCCGATCGAGTAAAGATGCAAGACCGTAAGATCAAAAACTAGCGTCGAGTAGATTAGTTCGACTCCACGCACAACAGCAACAAAATCCCCACGGATTAGCAACGAAGATATTTGGTGTCCCCCGACATGGGACGTTTTCTATAGCTTTATTCAACTCATGACTAAAAACAAAATCTGCCCTATTACACGGCCATAGCCTTTATTTATATGGTGCGCGCAGGCACCGGTTCTCAACCGACTCAATCCCAGCAAAATCTGAAACGGACTCTCCTATCCAAACTAAACAAGCAACTACCTAATTAATCACGCGTCCACGTTGATCACCTACCAATTAACTTGGACTCAGAAAGGACTACGTAACTACTAGGAACAAGAACAAAAGACTTGGACGTGCTTTTGCATGCTACGGACCCAGATCAAATTGACAAGTATTGTTCCTACCATAATCGTGTAGCACAAGGAGTTCTGAAGGTGGGCTTGACTTCGTCCGGTGCAACCAGTTGAACAGGAAATTTTCCAAAATAAATAATCTTCTCATTGTTGACCGCTTTAAATGTGTTCATCATTCTCCCATGGTGACTACCGTCACTGATAGCCACATCATTCCCTCCCTCTTGAAACGAAGCCGTCCTCGGTTTCGTGGTAGGCTTTGGGATCTCCTTATTCTTCTTTACTGACAGAATAGTATCCTCCTTAATATCACTAGCAAACATGGGCTGTTGCACACATCGTCTTCTGGCATGCCGAAAAGAATAAGTGTTCGACCTTCCATCATGTGTGGCGTGATGATCATATTGCCAAGGTCTCCCCAGCAACAAGTGACATGCATCCATCGGCAAAACATCACAAAATCACAGTGTCGATATAGTCACCAACCGAAAAATTAAGACGCACCTTGTGAGTAATTTTTAGTCTGCCCGACTGATATAACCACTCGACGCAGTGTGGTTGAGGGTGCTTCCATGCAGGTAACCCCAAAGCTTCCACCAATCCCTTACTGACTGCATTGGTGTAGCTTCCTCCATCTATGATCAACTTACAATTGGTGTTGTTGATCTTGCACTGAGTCTGAAAAATATTCCAACGCTGCCCCTTATCCTCCATGCGATCCTCTTGCACACGCTGCACCATTAAGGACGGATATGATTCAGCCGCTTCAAAACTAGCAGTCACCACCTTCTCAGCATCTTCAAATTTTTCACTAGAAGTGTTAGAAACTGCCTCTTCATCACTCGCGCATGCATAGCCATCTTTTGTGAGCAATACTCTCTTCTCATTAGGACATTCACGCTTCATATGTCCCCTTCCTCCACACTTGAAACACTCTATGTCACTGGAACGATTGGTCGACTGTGCACTAGAATCAACTCTCAATGGTCCTGATTTTGAAGCATTCTTTTGCACGGAACCATGAGGGCGATTTGATGTTGCCGTCCTGGAGCTAGGACCGATATCCTCGCTCTGATGCTGCGAGCGTCATCATGTGTTCAAAGTGGTACTGGGAACTGTGTTGACTTGGCGTCGCTTAATCTGTTGTTCCGCACGCATGGCTTGGTGCACAAGATCTTGTATGTTGTAGTAGACCACCATCTCAACACGATCATGCACCTCGATATTTAGCCCGTTAAAGAAACGTGCCATGGTCGCCTCCGGATCCTCCGTTGTCCCTGTATGTATCATGAGCAATTCCATCTCCTTGTAATATTCATCAACCCTCATATTACCTTGAGAGAGCCGCTGCAAGTTGTTGTACATATCTCTTTTATAGTGCTCAGGAACAAAACGCCACCTCATGAATTCTTTCATCCCTTGCCAAGTCGTCGGGCGATGTCTTGAACGACAAATTTGATTCCACCAAATTAGCGCGTAACCGGTGAACTCAATTCCAGCAAGTTGAACTTTCTTCTCTTCGCTATAATGATGAGCATCAAAAATTTGATCAACGCGCATCTCCCACTCCAAATAAATTTCTGGTTCGCACTTGCCGGAGAATGAAGGAATAGAAATTTTTATGCACCCAACTCCATCATCCAAAGGCACACGCACAGCTTGATCAACTCGGTCATGCACTCCACCATGAACAGAAGTTTCAGGACGAGGCTCATAGTGTCGTGGCCGTGGAGCGTACCCCGCTACCTGGTCAACGTCGTCATCAAGACCGTCATCTCCAACATGAGGATGTGCTGCCAAATGATGATCATGCACGCCAGCATGTCCGTCGCAAGCCGGTGGTGCATAACACAGTGGAGCAGCCGGAGCAGTCTGTGGTGGTGCAGAATTCGTTGTCGGTATATTGATGATGTCTGCCAAACCATCGAACCAAGTGATCAGGACATCTATCCTTTTGCCGAGTGCATCATGACATTGCTTGATGTAGTTGCATGTGTGGTCAAATCATCCCGAATATTTTGCGGAATATTATCCGCATACACTGGACGTATTATTTCCTCAGAATCAGCAGCAACCTCATCACACTTGTTGACCGAGGTTGACATCTCAATCAACACAGTACCGTGAACAACCTTAGCTCTGATACCACTTGATAGGCCCCGACTAGATGCGAGTCGTTCGTCGGCCCGATCTTTCACGATACTGGCAGCAACACAAGAAATTCCGATCGAGCAAAGATGCAAGACCGTAAGATCAAAAACTAGCGTCGACTAGATTAGTTCGACTCCATGCACAACAGCAACAAAATCTCCACGGATTAGCAACGAAGATATTTGGTGTCCCCCGACATGAGACGTTTTCTATAGCTTTATTCAACTCACGACTAAAAACAAAATCTGTCCTATTACACGGCCATAGCCTTTATTTATATGGTGCACGCAGGCACCGGTTCTCAACCGACTCAATCCCAGCAAAATCTGAAACGGACTCTCCTATCCAAACTAAACAAGCAACTACCTAATTAATCACGCGGCCATGTTGATCACCTACCAATTAACTTGGACTCAGAAAGGACTATGTAACTACTAGGAACCAGAACAAAAGACTTGGACGTGCTTTTGCATGCTACAGACCCAGATCAAATTGACAAGTACCGTTCCTACCATAATCGTGTAGCACAAGGAATTCTGAAGATGGGCTTGACTTCGTCCGGTGCAACCAGTTGAACAGGAAATTTTCCAAAATAAATAATTTGCTCATTGTTGACCGCTTTAAATGTGTTCATCATTCTCCCATGGTGACTACTGTCACTGATAGCCACATCACCTTGCGGTCGTGGTGGCGAAGAGGTCGCGATGATCACCTCAACGCAATAGGGGTGGTTGTCAGCCGGCTACTGGCTGCTCTGGAGCTCTCGTCGGAAGCTGCCGAGACCGCCGTGGTACGTCATCGGCGGTCGTGTCCCCTCTGCCACCGGCAAAGACGACAACGACCAAACCTTCTTCGATCGACGACCAAAACTACGGCGAAAGCGAGGGCGTGGTGGCGGTCATGTCGAGACGTGGTTTGGTAGGGACGGCCGGGGGCTGCGCGGTGAGGAGGCGGCCGAAGAATAGCGGCGGCGCCGACGGCGGGGCGGGGCGGGAGAGAGAGTGGAAGCGTTGGGAACGGAGGGACTGCTAGTATCCCCGACAGACAGGCCACGGGAGGACAAGGGCGTGCGTCGAGACCGTCCGGGCGCATCCTTTCACCCAAAACCAAGCGCAAATTTAGACCGGGAATGGATTTAAAACGGACGAAATTTAGACATTTATCTGTTTGAGGTCGCGGGTTGGAACGTGTTATTCGTCCGTTTTAACTCAAACGGAGGCGCACGAACTAAGGTCGCGCCGTGGAGTTGGCCTTAAACGAGCCGGCACGCCACCGCGACCACGCCGAGTCGTCCTCGTCTCTCGACTCTCGTACCCCCTCCCGCTGCCCCTCCCCCTCGGCCAGCCAGCACACGACGACGAGACGAGACGAGACCTAGGGGAGCCGCGAGCCAGGTGGTCCGAAGCGAGCGAGCTAGGGTTTGCTCGATCCAATCTCCACCCACCCACCACCAGGTGCGTGCTCCTGCTGGTGCCCCGTGATCCTACCGAGTTCTTCCCAGGGCCGCGTTACTGTTGTGCTGTAGTGCACGATTCGCCGGGTTTGGAGTTCCGGGACGCCGAATGCGGGATCTGGCGGCTCCGATCCACTTTGTGCTGTGCTCCGGTTTCCTTGTCTCGTTTGACCCGGTTACGTTCTGGCCCCGATTTGGTTCCTTGCCGTCCGCCCAACACGTTGGGAAATTAATGGTGAATCCAAGGTGATCAATTAGCGAGCGCGCCAGAGAGGAGACCACAATTCGAACGAGAATTTTCCTATATGCTGTGATTTTTCTCCCCTTATATATTACTTTTACGGAGGGACTAGTATAAAACAGGAGCGAAAAAACCCCATCAGAATCATATACTGATATCCGAAAATTATTGTGTAAGATACAGTAGCGCCACATTTCAAATTTTCAACCTTAAGATGGTTATCTTTTTGTGTATTCCAGCAAGATTCTTGCATTAGGAGCAGATTTTGTTGGTGATTCGCTTCTTTCTGCTGCAGGTTCTGCCTTTTGAGGCCATCAAACCTGGCCAACTGTCATGGACCTGGTGGGATCACTGCTGATAAACATGACCCGCTGGGTTGACCCTTCTGGGGTTGAATTCTTCGGGTGGCTCATCACTGCCGGTTCCTTTGGCCTGGCGGCGCTCATCTACGGTCTCCTCAGGCTGCAGAGGGAGGCGTCGCTCTACTGGCTCAAGGCGGCCGCCAGGGAGAAGAAGGCAGCGTCGAAGGTGCTACGGTGCCCCTGCTCAAGCCATACCTGGACCGAGGACTGCTTCCGTGGTGGCCAACCTTCGACGTGCTGTGTGTGCCTGTCGTCGCTGGCCTTGCCTCAGGGTGTAGGCTTGAGGGCCCTTGACGCTGATGTTGTTTACCGGTGCTCTGTGTGCGGAGTGGCGGCTCATTGGTACTGCTCGCAGGGCGCTGACAAGGACTGCAAGTGTGTCACGCAGGCTGGTGCTTCCACTTTGCTGCATCACTGGTCGGAGAGGTGGGTGGAGATGGACGATAACCCGGCGATAACAACCTTCTGTTATTACTGCGATGAGCCCTGTGGTGTGCCATTCCTTGGCGTCTCTCCTATATGGCGCTGTCTGTGGTGCCAGAGGCAGATCCATGTTGATTGTCATGCAAAGCTGTTGAAGGAGACGGGGAACACTTGTGATCTTGGCCTGCTCAGTAGACTTATTGTTCCACCTCTATCGGTGAAACAAGTTGGCCAAGGTCCGGCAACCAGTGGAGCGTTCAACTCAATCAAAGAAGGGTTTGTCACTTCTTCAGTTAGGGGTCGGATTAGAAGGCCACGCAGCAAGAAACGCATGAACAATCAGTCTGGCATTAAGACAACTGCGATTTCCACAGACAGTTCAATTCTCGACTCCGTTCTTGAAGGATTTGCTAGACTGCAGAACCTGAATGGAAAGTATACTCTGGCAAACCCCAAGTTCTCTGGAAACACTCTCAAGCAAACATGTGGATCTGACATTACTAATGGAGAGGAAAAGAAGTATGAGCTTGTAGATATGCCACAAGATTCGAGGCCGCTGCTTGTTTTCATCAACGGCAAGAGTGGTGGCCGTAACGGGTCTTCTCTTAGAAGAAGAATGAACATGCTGCTGAATCCCATACAGGTAATGTGACCTTGTTCTTTCAGTCCCAAATGGACTACACCTTATATTTTGCAATGGAGGGAGTAACAGATTTGATGCTCTAACCTTGATCTGACAGTTGAATTCTTATTTCAGATATTTGAGCTTAGCGCTTCTCAGGGTCCTGAAGTTGGATTGCAACTATTCCAGAATGTAAAACACTTCAGAATTCTTGTTTGTGGTGGGGATGGAACTGTGGCATGGGTTCTTGATGCCATAGAGAAACAGAACTATGAATCCCCTCCCCCGGTTGCCATTCTTCCACTAGGAACAGGAAATGACCTATCGCGTGTTACCCGCTGGGGTGGAGGTTTGTCTTCTGTTGAAGGACAAGGGGGAATATGTGCACTTTTAAATGACGTTGATCACGCAGCAGTTATGGTTCTTGATCGCTGGAATGTAACCATCAAAGAGAAGAATGGGCCACAAGGTCAATGCATCAAGCAAGTGAAATTTATGACTAATTATCTAGGTAGACTATCCTTCAACTTCCACCATCTTAGTCAACATTTGATGCATTGCATATCTCACTCATCTAGATGTTGCTGAATTGATTTAGTTTCTATTGACTTGTAGGTATTGGATGTGATGCCAAGGTTGCATATGATTTCCACACAACTAGGGAGGAAAGGCCAGATAAATTTAGCAGTCAGGTAGGGATATTCCTTTTTTTTTTCCTCCTTTCGCAGCTTAAATCTATCTTACTGCAGAATTTATCCCCCCATTTGGGACACATGAATTTATCATATTCCCACACGAGAACAGTTTCTTGTGAAATTCCTGAATAATTTCTCCATTTCAGACAATGCTAAACATTTGATATGCTATGTGTTCTAGTATTCTTTATGTCAGAAAAAGTGTTAATGGAACTATTTCCATGGTGCAGTTTGTGAACAAGCTGATATATGCTAGAGAAGGCGCTAAGGATATGATGGATAGGTCATGTTCTGATTTACCATGGCATGTTAGCCTTGAAGTTGATGGAAAGAACATTGAAATTCCAGAGGTAACCTTCTCTATATCTTTCATGTATCTTCACTTTCTGATTTATCTTTGGTGGATCTTCTTATCTGCTATGCTTATCAGGATGCAGAAGGTGTGATCATTCTGAATATCGCTAGCTACATGGGTGGTGTTGATCTTTGGCAAAACGACAATGATTATGATGATGATTTCAGTTCACAATCAATGCATGACAAAATGCTGGAGGTGGTCTGTATATCTGGGACATGGCATCTAGGCAAACTGCAGGTAAACATACTCTGTATATTGAACATGTTAACTTATTCTCTATTTCCATTTTCCAGAACATCTCTTGTTATCGCTTCTATATAATGCTATCAGCCTTTCAACAATAATGTTAGCGTTAACTCATATATAATTGTTTTCTTGTGGTTGATAGGTAGGACTATCGAGAGCACACCGACTAGCCCAAGGAAGAGTCATAAGATTTCACCTGCACAGTTCATTCCCTGTTCAGGTTGATGGTGAACCATGGATTCAGCCACCTGGGTGCCTTGAGATATCTCACCGTGGACAGGTACTTTACTTCGTCATGTGCATTAGATATGTATGATAGAATTCACACACACACACACATACGTATGCTTTGAGATATACTTTTTTCCACATGAAGGGCCTGTTCTGATCTCCTCCCAACTCTCCAAACTCCCCGAATTCAGCTTCTCAGGGCAGGTTCGAACTCCATGCAGGGAAGGGATTCCGTTCTCCAGCTTCGCTAGCTTCGAATTAATAAAGATGGCTGCATGCATCGATTAATGCAGAGGCCAGGGGTTTAACCTCCTTTTCAAAAAAAAAAAAAAGCCTCGGTGGCTTGTCTTAGCACCATAATGGGCCAGCTGGAACCAGCTCGTGGAAACAGGGAGCGAATCGCTATGTTTGGTGGTCGGGAACGAGCGAATCGTTATGTTTGGTGGTCATGAACGAAACGTTATACTTGGCGGTGGCACTGCAGGTGTAATTTGAGCGAACTCCAGATTTTGGTTTTGGTGGAGCTGGGCCGACCGAGCTTCAGTTTTTTGCACTACGCTCTGGCTCAGCTCCGAGAAGTCAGCTTCTCGGAGCCCAACCGTTCGGGGCATTTTGTACTGCAGATTTGGTGGAGTTAGAAGCTAGATGAGATCAGAACAGGCCAGAAGTTTAATCTAACTGTAGTTTGTGAAGTAATGTGAGCTTTCCCTACAGACTTGTAGAAATTGTGAGTTGTGAATTAAATTAGTGTGTTTCTGAACTAAAATTGTGTGGTGGAATCTTAAATTAAGTCATCTTATGTTCATCAGTCAAATAATAAAACACAGTCCACACAGCTGACTGACAAACTTAATAACTATTTCAATACACTCATCTGGCATTCAGATAGAAGTTTATTATATAACAAGTGCAAGTACATAGTGAAATCGTTTCTGACGCTGCCTTGCTGCTGCACAGATGTTCATGTTGAGGAGGCCATCTGAAGAGCTCACTGGGCATGCTGCGGCAGTCATGAGTGACGTCCTCGTGAACGCTGAGTGCAATGGTGTTATTGACGCTGCTCAGAAGAGATTGCTCCTCCACGAGATAGCACTCCGTTTATCCTCCTGACAGTCCATACTACCCTCTCCACTCAGAAACCTAACACTGTTGATACCAAACCCTTTTGTGTTGAGAAGTCCCTTTTGCACAGTTGAAAAGGCATGTGGTAGATGTTGATGTATACAACGAGGGAATGGAAGGTTTCCCACGCTTATGGTTGGCTGTACCTTTTCCGGATTTAGATAGGTTGGTTGCTTCTTTGCTGGCTGGGGTGCCAGTTGAAGTGGCTATCAAGGTGAGAAAGATCCCAAGAGAATTTTGTAGAGACCTTAGAGCACCCTAATTGCATGTAGGGCTTTTGTAACTGGAGTGTGTGTTACAGTAGGCATAGCTTTGGGGCTAGTGTCTAAAACTTTGTGTTGTTCTGTTGAAGAAACTCATGGTGATAATCCTGCTGATTCTGTTCTTGATGTATGTCTGCAATCCGTATCCGTGCTGAAAATTTGTGTGCCTTTTTACTAAAAACTACTGATGGATGCCCGTGGTGAATATTGGAAAATTGTGTGCCACGAAATGAAAATAAAACAAGATGATCAAAAAAATGTTCTAATTAAGAATTATGTGTCGAACATTATGGCATTGTGTCTTCATTCATATAGCCACAAACTGATTCTCATGCAATCGTTGTTTCTCCTTAAACGCCATCACCTAATTTTCATTCTTGACACCCTCTTGGTAAAATGATTCTTTTGATCTCCTTTATTGATGATCGGTCGGTTGAAAGGAAATTTAAGCTAAGTGCCTCTCAAAACTAAGTAAACATGAACTATGGCGAAACAGAAGAATAAAATTATATTTTTTCTGAGAAATAACCCTCTCAACCTTCATACACTGGTCCCGAAGCCAAAGGAAAAAAAATATTCTACTGAAGACAAATATTTATAGCAAAATATTTAAACTTCAGGCTGCGTCTCGTGAAAGCTACAAATACAAACGCAAAATCTAGTCTAATAATAAGTTTACACTCTTACAACCCAAAGCATGTGATTTGATCACCTCTAAGTTTCAACTTTATCTTTAGCCTAAGACATGCTTTCTGATATCGTGTAGCTGCAGACCAAAGCTCCAAGCACGAATGAAAATCGAGAGCAATGTGATGAATTATAAATTAACTAGGACAACCAACACATCTCGTTGACACACTACCGTCATGCAAAATATATATTAAAGTTCTAGTTGTGTGTGCGCGTGCCGTGTGTTTGTTTTCAGGATCTCAATATCTAATATTCAAATAAACATAAAAAATGTGAATAGCTTTTCTAGCAAATATGAGTAGACAAAAGTCAATTGTACATCCTTCCACGCGATAGTAGTGTAACCAATAGAGCATGCGAAGGAAATGAAGCTACCTGTCTTGCTCACCCTTCTCACCCCTTGTGTCACAAAAAAATGAAAAGCTGAGGTGGAGAGACTCGCTTTGTGTAGCAAAAACTTGAAAGCTAAGGCCCAGACAGAACGGCCCTAATGCTTCTCCCGGGCTCAGCCAGTCGTCTCCCCATGAACAACTTGACCTCTTCTTCCTTTTTCTTTTCCTCTTGCTATAACATCAATAATGATACAATTAGGGATAGTTTCTATGCACTGCACTTACGGATGCCATCATGGCACCACGAGGTCGGTATAGATTGAAACGATTGGTCCTCAAATTCCTTCACCGAGCCACAACTTCACGCCACGTACATGTATCAAATCATCTGTAGGCACATCATTATTGTTATACCAAACCCACACTTCCTCCTGCTATGTCGCAACCAACTTAGAAACAGAATGTACCCTTCACTTCTCAACACATCACGATGCTAGGAGTGTGCCAACGGTGTACGCGGAGGACCTCCTAGTGCGCATCAAAAATTTCTCTGCACGGGAGGTGCTGATGCTGCCAGGGGTGGGAAGTCCCATGGATTATGGCAAGGATGGGCTCCTAGTGTTGGCACCCCACACAGACACGGGGGACACCAAGGTCAGGGTCCTAGTCGCTTTGCGGGTTGTGGCAGCGGCGGGCCAGGGGAGGAGTCTCCTTGGACGCTAAAACACACGTCATGTCCAAGCTCTTGGACGCTAAAACACCCGTCATGTCCAAGCTCTTGGACGCTAAAACACCCGTCATGTCCAAGCTCTTGACCATATTCAAATTCCACATAGTCCCATCATTTTTTCACTCAAAGCAACTTAGATGGGCTACTTATCTTGTATTTTTCTTCCACAAAATATTTGCTAGGATTATCCAGGGTTGCGTCACCGGATTCTCTTCAGAGCTGCATTTTTCCCTGCTTGTGAGGGACGTAGTCGCGGCCATGACCAATCCCTCTACCTCTTCCACTTGCATTGGCACACCCACCTCGTCAATCTCTATGCCTAGGACCCTGGCGGTTGTCATCTTTCCACGGTTGCGACCTGTTTCAAGTTGTATCATCCAACATCCATCTCCAAAATGGAAAATGCTCGTCGTGTGTTCACGTTATGTGTAGGAATGCCTTTAAAACCACAGACCTCACATCATCACGACACTTCCTTATATTTAACCCAAAAGACCAATTGGTCTTCCCCTTTTGGTTGTATCCCGACAAAACGAGCCAGTTCTTTTGTGACATCAGCCAGTTCTTTTGTGACATCAAGCATCACCTGACACGTACAAACTTGCTACCAGGATTCATATCCACCTGTATCATCTTCCCAATCTTGCCTGACATGCCTTTTACCAGATCAAGCTCGTTGTATAAGTCATAAGTATCGAGAATTTCCACTCATGCATGCACCTGATCAAGAGATACATGAGAGATATTGGTTATGCCATCACTAAAAACCCTTGGCCCTCTTCCAGAATTCTGTTCTAAAATCAGATGCAGTTCGCTTGCACTAAGGATCCCCCACTGCCCTAAAGTGCGCCTCTCTAGTCGGTGGGCACGCAAAAATCTTGATGGTTTCTAGGGAAATCTGATTGAATGCCTTGTTCCCGAGTAGTCGATCCTACACCAACCAACCGTTGTAACAGAAAACTACACAATATTTTTCGACTTCAATATCTCCTGTGTCAACCCTATTGAGGCTAAAAGTACCCGGAAGATAAATGCAACCTCGCTGGAATTTTTTTCGCGAATACGCAATAGTGCGTATCATTTCATTGATAGGAAGGGGGGGGGGTATAGGAGAGCCTTTTTGAGGGTGGGATGCTCAGCCCACAATAAAGCAAACATACACGCCTATGCCAGCAAAAGATTTAGTCCGCGAGCACCAGCTCGAGCCCAGGTCCGGGCCTCGTCTTGAATAGACGCCAACAACATGGAGGTGGACGGGGTAACACCGTCGAACACGCAGCGGTTGCGGTGCTTCCAAATGCACCATGCGGTAAGCGTGGCCAGCGTGGCAACGCCCTTGCGAAGGCCAGGGGGGATCCAGCGATGGCCGTCGAGCACCAGGTGAGGAAGTCTTCGTCTCCAGACGGAGGGTGGATAGTGGCACGCACCCAGGCGAGCACATCATACCAGATTTGCCGCGAGAAAGAGCAGCCAGTGATGATGTGCTGCATGGTCTCTTTGGCTTGATCGCAGAGGACACATCGGTCGCTGTGCGGCAGGCCATGCCGGGCGAGTCTAGCTGCAGTCCAGCAACGGTCAAGGTCGGCGAGGCAAGTGAAGATTTTGACTCGCAGGGCCCCCCAGCATTTCCATGTCAGGCGCCAGAAGGGGGCCGTGGTGGAGCCAGCGTACAAGGCCAGGTAGCAAGACTTGGCCGAGTACTTGGCATTCGCTGTCCATCTCCAGCACAAGCGGTCGGGGAGCTGGATAGCGCAATCGGCTGTAATATTCTCCATAGGTTCACATAGTCGGCGAGTGCACCAGGGGTCAGAGCGCCGCGGAGGTCGGCGATCCAACTGCGATCATGGAGCGCCTCCGCGACCGTGCGTTTCTGCCGGCATCGTGGGACAAGGGGTAGGAGGGAGGGAGCCACATCAAACACTGTCTGGCCATTGATCCAGTGGTCTGTCCAGAACCGGTAGGTCCGGCCATCGCCGACTTCCCAAGAAGTCGAAGCCCGAAATATAGCGGAGGCGTCGGGGTCGCTCGGGAGATGAAGATGTATCCAAGGCCTGGTGGGGTCGGTGCGTTGGAGCCACAACCAGCGCACATGCAGCGCAATGCCTTGGCGGTATAGGTCCTGGATGCCGAGGCCGCCGAGCTCGAGAGGGCGGCAGACACACTGCCAGTTGACGGGGCCATGCCCACTCTGGGTGTCCTTCCTGCCATGCCAGAGGAACTCTCTGATGATGCGATTGACCTTCTTGAGATGGCGACCATGATATGTGAGGGGATGGCACATAACACATGGCGAACTAGGGCAAGGTGTTCGCCACGGGAGAGGAGAGTTGCGCGCCATGTTGATAGCTTCTTGGACAGCCTATCAACAATGGGCAGCAGGGAATGCGACGACAGCTTCCACACGGAAAGGGGGATGCCGAGGTAGATGATGGGGAAGCTCACCACGGCGTATGCCAGCACACTCTGGATGCATTGTTGGGGAACGTTGCAGAAAACAAAAAATTTCCTACGGTTTCACCAAGATCCATCTATGAGTTCATCTAACAACGAGTGATCGGATGCATCTACATACCTTTGTAGATCGCGAGCGGAAGCGTTCAAAGAACGGGGACGAGGGAGTCGTACTCGACGTGATCCAAATCACCGGAGATCCTAGCGCCGAACGGACGGCACCTCCGCGTTCAACACACATACGGTCAGCGTGACGTCTCCTTCTTCTTGATCCAGCAAGGGGCAAGGAGAGGTTGAGGAAGATGGCTCCAGCAGCAGCACGACGGCGTGGTGGTGATGGAGTTGCAGTACTCCGGCAGGGCTTCGCCAAGCTCTATGGAGGAGGAGGAGGATGTGTTGGAGAGGGAGAGGGAGGCACCAAAGGCAAAGGTAAGAGGTCCTCCATCCCCCCCACTATATATTGGGGGGCCTAGGGGGGGCGCCGGCCCTAGGAGATGCAATCTCCCAGGGGGGCGGCGGCCA